GCACCGGTGCCGGGGCAAGGGGGGACCCTCCTCCTCTGACGTCCCAGTTCACAGTTCACAGAGCGGCAGACGTACAGAAGGGGGTGGTTGGGTGGGTAGGCGTGACGCTTCGGCGCGGTGCGGTAGGTGGCTCAAGCCCCGAAGACCCTGATCGCGGAGGGGGGACCCGGCCGGACACAGTCGTGGTTCGCTCGGTGCGACATAGCTGGTGAGATGGCTTGCACAGCCTCAGGACCCTGAACAAGGACGGTGCTGTTGTAGGAAGTGATCGACCAAGATGCTCGTGGACCCTGAGGCAATACGAGCTTTGACGGGTGGTAAGGTGCCATTTTACCCACCACAAGCTATCGAATATTGGGAAGGGGAAAAAAAGCTTATGCGGATTTCTGCTCTATTCCCCTGAGTACTTTTTGTTTTGGGGGCCTATTCTGACGTCGACTGGCGTTTGTCTAGATGGAAAAGTTGGCTCAGGGGGTCACTCGCTGGGCGGGACGATTACATATCCATGCGAGGGTAGTGGATGATGCTGGCTCCCATGTTTCTATTTCCAGATGAAGTATCGACGAAGGTACCTCTGGAAAGGAGTGTACTTTGGAAAAAGGTATCAAAAGTTGTGATACTTTGGAGGTGTACCTTGTGCGATTTGAGGGATGGATCAACACCATGACAGCTTTGATGCTTGCCTGCCAGGGGGCTTGCCTCGTCGGCTTCGGCTAGGTTTATCCCGAATAACAGAACAGCAGCCGTACACAACGGCATTTGTAACGTTCACATTGATGACGCTCATGGTGGAAGCATGTCGACATAGGAGTCATGAGGGTCACAAGTCCGATCGCCAGGCTGTCATGGCGCCTTGTCATCTGGCCATGTTCAGCATGTCGGTCAGTCAGTGCCTGGCACGGTTTACAAGAGTGTTGCGCACACCTGAGGCAGAGAGACAGGGAGACACAGAAGCAGAGAGGCACGTTGTGCCACGAAAGGCCAGCGATGGTGGCTTGCAGGAAACGCGCTGGGTCCAGAACGAGCGAACGCAGTGCAGCTGACAGGTTTCTGACGGAAAGGGGGACGCAAGAGTTAGCGCCTGCGGCAAGGCTCAAGTCGGACATGTCGACGCAGGTGTATGGCACATGTGGGCGGGATGATTGGTTCGTGGGAGAGATGGGTGAAGCAACGAGTTCTCAGTTGAGGGGTCCCAGATGCCGAGGTGAGTGACGCGGTGTGTGTATTTGGATATCAGGAAGGAGGTCGGACATCCCTCTCATAGATATTCCTTTGGGCTCGAAGCATCGCATGGTAAACGACGTAGCAAAGTGAAGGCTTCGCACGATCTGCTCATGCCTCCATCATCGCTCCCAGCAAAAGGAAGAAGTCGGTGACGAAACAAACGGCTTATCCAAAAGAGTTGGGGGACCTTATCAGCGGCGAAGTCCCCCACCGGCCGGCCCGTCAAAAAATAAAAAAGTGGCGCCCTCACGTCACCATTCAGCAGTTTCCCAGAGCCTGGCCCACGCTGCCCCCTCCCAAGGCCCGGCCCAAGGCCCCAGGCTCCGCCCAAGGCCCCAGGCCCCAGGCTAGGTAGTTGTCCCAGCGCGCACCACAGCGCACGGCGCCCTGAAGAACCAGCAGTGGGAGCTGCCGCAGCATCATCATCATCTGGCCCACAGCCCGCGGCCCGCAGCCTGCAGCAGCCTCGGGGGTTCGTCTCTCCCACCGCCCTATCCCAAACTTTGCCCTCGAACACGGACACTTGAACATCAAACATCGGCCTCGGACGCACCCAGCCGTGCGGCAGAAACAGAAAAACCCAAATCCTGTCCGAAACTCTCGCGAGATAGCCTTGCCCCTCCTTTGTTGCAGCACCGTCCGCTTCCCGCGAGCCAGCCGCCAACGTACGCACTCTCTACCAGCCTCTACCCTTGCCACCTACTCTTGACGACGACCCAAGTACCTTACCATACCTACATCACACTGCCCAGCGAGCAAGCTCAGCCCCGCCTCCGACATCGTCATGGCTTCAGCAGCGCCGCCAACCGCCGTCGTGGACGCCCCCGAGGAGCCTCCAAGCGACACCTCCAAGCTGAAGACGTTTATCGGCATCCTGAGGAAGTAAGTCGCCCTTTCTTTTTCCGTCCTGGCGCCGAGCCTAGGTGCTGCGAGACGTGCGGATGAGGGGTACCATCCCTGGCCCTCTCCTCAACGGGGCTCTTTGTGCCCGTCTTCATGACACTCCAAGATCGCATCGCGATAGCGCAACATCGCAACACGGCGCTGACCTCTTTTCGGCTTGCAGGTTCATGGGCGTCGCAGACCTTGCTGCCGTTCGCTTTTCGCTGCCCTCTCAGCTTCTCGAGCCGACCCCGAACCTCGAGTACTGGACCTACCTCGATGCACCCAACGCCTTCGTCGCCATCGGCACCGCCGACGAGCCACTCGACCGCATGCTTGAGGTATGCCGCTTCTGGTTCACCAAAGACCTCAAATACGTCAAGGGTAGGCCCTGCAAGCCCTACAACTCGTGCCTCGGCGAGTTCTTCCGCGTACGTTGATCATGCCGAAATCGTGCCAGCCCGAGCCACGTCTCGTCGCCAGCGTACTGACTTGACTGCCCCGCAGTGCAACTGGGAAACCGAGGACAATGCGCCCAAGATCAATACAACCGCCCTCAAGGGTCCCACGAGCGGCAACGTCAGCAGCGCCTCGAGCATCCGCTCTGTCAAGGCTGACAAGAATGCCTCTACAAATTCCCTCTCGCTGACCGTTCCAAAACACGGCCTGGCTACCCCCGACGGCCGCCCCGTCCGCATCTCGTACCTGACCGAGCAGACGTCCCACCACCCACCCGTCAGTGCATACGCCGTCATCTGCCCAGACCGCGGTCTCTCCGCGCGCGGCTTTGATCAGATCTCCGCCAAGTTCACCGGCACCAGCGTCCGCGTCCTGCCCGGCGAGCACAATCTCGGCATCTTCATCGACATTGAGAAGCGCGGCAACGAGACGTACCAGCTCACCCACCCGGCCGCCTCGCTCGGCGGCATCCTGCGAGGCACGCTGAGCGTCAGCGTCAGCGAGATGGCCTACATCACCTGCCCCAAGACGAAGCTCAAGACCATCCTGCACTACATCGAGGCGGGCTGGCTCGGCAGGTCGACGAACCGTGTCGAGGGCATCATCTTCCGCTACGACCCGGAGAATGACAACAAGACGACAATCAAGGATGTGCCAGAAGCGGACATTGTGGCGCGTCTCGGCGGGCCGTGGAGGGAAAAGATTGAGTTCACCCTCGGACCCAAGCCTATCGTATGTGCTATTCCCTGTCAAACTCTTTTCTTCCTACCAGAGCAGACGTCTAACCCAACGTGTAACCGCAGGACTCCCACCCACCCGAGGCGCGCTTCACCATCATCGACCTCCTCCCACTTAATGTGGCCCCCAAAGTCGTGCCCCCTGCCGACAGGCAGCAAGAGTACGAGTCGCTCTCGCTCTGGGGCGGCGTCACCGAGGCCATCCACGCCAAGCAGTTTGGCAAGGCGACGCAGGTCAAGCAGGAGCTCGAGGAGAGGCAGCGCGAGAAGGCGCGCGAGCGCGAGGCTGCCGGCACAACCTGGCAGCCCGTCTTCTTCCAGCAGGTCACGGGCAACGGGGGCCAGCCAGTGCTCACGGACAAGGGCAGGGAGGTGCTGAAGCGGGCGCAGCAGGCTGAGTGGAACATTGACGATGTCGTCGGCGCCGCTCCGGCCGCCACTCCGGCCGCCGCCTGAAGCGAGAGTGAATCTGTTCCAGCGTGTTTGGGTTTGATGCATGTAGGGGTTAGCGGGGACGAGTGAGAGCGGACGAGAGGGTTGGTTATAAGCTCACGGCCTTTCGTTTTCTGCCCTCTCTTTTTTTATTTATCAGGGAGGGATGCTCATTTGGACGATCAAGTCGCGCGGGGTGCCAGTCTCATTCGAGTGCGGATGTCACGATTTGTTGATTCTTCAGGGCTTGGGATAGAAGGGGAAAGTTTGGGCGGGGGAACGATGGTGTAGTTGGTTGCATTGCTGAGGTTCTGATTATTGTCTCTCGTTTTGAGTAGATGGCGATTTGGGGAGAGGCCCCCCCACCCCTTTGCACACGGGGTACTACCACATTGGCATTGTGTTTCCATCGATGGTTCTGCTTTTTCTTCTTCTTCGCTGGACACGTGAGGCTGTGTGTGGGAAGGGGATCGGGGGATGAGAAGACACGCCCAGGCGTTTGGTGTATATTGTTACTCCTGGGTTGCAATGCCCTGCCTTACCGGCCCAATTATGCATCTGGGCTGCCAATCGATGATCCTGATATGAGGCAATTTAGAACTGATGTGCAAGCTGTGGAAGCTGGGAGCGCTTTGAAGCGTGACAGCCCGGAGCTTCGAGACGGATTATACGTCGTTCTGAAACGGGGAGCGATTTCATGGTGGTCGATGTTGATTCACAGGATCCCTATCACTGTTGATACCATCCACCGAGGTCATTGGTGTTCTCGAGTGAGAAGGTAGGACTCGAAGCTCGCGTTTGCGAACCTTCGTGACGCTTCGAGCGGGAACTGTTGCGATGTCCAGCCAGACCAACCTGAGTAACTGGGGCCGCGAACGCATGATGAATGACGATTGATGAACTCTAGCCAGCCGACCGATCACCATGTATCGCGTGTATAGCTGCTGGACTTTTATTTAGTATGATATCACTGATGAGGCAGTCCTGAGTCGCTGCTTCCCATGACAGGGAGCAATCTAGACACCGTTCTGCATGGCGGGTACAGAGAATTGTCTGGTATTCTCGCTACGGACAAGCCGTCGTTGGACATTAGGTCCTGGTCTATGGTACAACAATGAGTGGAAAAGGCTTGTTAAGACATCCGTGAGAATCCTCAAAGATGAGTTCCGTCAATCATACACTTGCGTCCCTCCCCCCCGCATTATCCGCCATCGTACATTTTCTAACTTCTGTTTTTGTTCGCCTCGCTTCGCCGGAAGTGCCAGATCAAGCGCTGATGAAGCCCTTGACGTTGCTGAGCCAGCGCACGTACTCCTTCTGCTCCTTGACGTCGACGTAGTCGGGCGCGAAGACGGCCAGCGCCTGGGTGACGCCGCGCTCCTCGAGGTAGCGCTCCATCAGGATCTGCAGGTCCTCGTCGAGGCTGCCGAAGGGAGGGCCGGGGTAGACGTCGGCCTTCTTCTGGGCGCCCTCGGGGGTGGTGGGCGTGGCGAGGGCGGCGTCCTCGTAGTAGAACATGTTCTCGACAATGATGGAGCCGTCCTGGTCGACGGCGTCGATGTTGAGGGCGCCGGGGGAGCGGCCGGGCTTCTCGACGACGATGGACAGGCGCGTCGGGGGCGCGGCGTCGTCGTCGAGGTCCTCCTCCTCCTCGACCTCGAGATCCTCCTCGGCCTGCGCCGAGCGGGCGCCACCCGTGGCGGGCACGTTGGCCTGCTTGTTGGCGTTCTGGATGTCCGAGGCGTCGATGTCGTCCTCATCCTCGAGGGCGCGGTCCTGCTCGTACATGTCGGGATCGTAGTTGGCGAGGTCGGCGATGGAGAAGGTGATGGTGATCCTGGCATTGGTTAGTCTCTTTGAACGTGTCGACGAGATGCGTCTGTGAGCACACGTACTTCTCGTCACCAAAAGTGCGCGTCAGCTTGACGTCCTCCTTGCCGGGGGTGTCGTGCAGCTCAAAGGGGCTGTTGTCAAGGAAGTCCTTGACGCTGGCGGGCAGCTGCTCGTTCTGCTTGACCTCCTCCTCAAACTGAAGCTCGCTCTCGAGCTTTGCCGCGAGCTCCTCATCCGACTCGGCGGCACGGCGGAAGACGGTTGTGGAAAAGGCGGAGGCGCGTTGTGTGCGGAGCGCGGCGCTCAGGGGGGAGGAAGTCTTGAAGAGGGTGTTGGGGCGGGCGACGGGGGTTTGCCTGGCCAGGCGGCCGAGGGCGCGGGGCGCAGAGCGCGCGGCGGTTCTGATGGAGAGCATATTTGAGGAGTGGGAAACGGTGATGAGGTGGGAAGGATGATTATGGATGTATTGGTGAAGCGACGGGATGTACAAAGCTAGAAGGTACAGCTTCGCGATGCAAGTAGCTGTCGAACAATGCCGCTGTCAAAATTTCATGCATGATAAGGCCGGCAGAAAGATAATCCGTCTCCGAGCATTCTTATCGCTGAGTGCTCACCGACCCCAAAGGCATAGCTTCACCGAGCCCCACTCTGTTCTCGACCAGTCTTCCCGCGACCTGCTCCTGCTGTTTGTTTCCATCCATTTCATTATCCTGTCCTGCCAGCGATGTGCATTTTGTGCTACCAAGTTCGAGCAGCACCGCTTGAGATGAAATACTCAAGGGGTCTTGAGGAATATTCTCTTTTGTTCCCCCTCACTTTTACCTCGTCACTGGTACGATGATTGAAACTGGGTAAACCCAATTCAGAAGCAAAGCCTTCCTGTCACTTTACTCCCACTTTGCCCCAGTCCTCCTCTGAAGTCTGTGTGAGGCAGATATAGCCATGTGACGGCCTCGGTCACTCAGTTGGCCAACGCCTCGTACAACAGTTTTTAGTTCCTCCGCAGGTACGAAATACGAGGACGACCTGCAAGTCCTCACAGGTCTGGCGCCCTCTCAGGCATGACACCTCTGTCGATAAGCTGTTAGGCTCTTGCTTCGGGCGATCTCTTCTTTAGCCGCGGAGCCTTGGCCAGGGCCCCTCGTTCGTTCGTGAGGGGTCATCGTTGACCAGCAAGCATCTGACAATGAGGATGGGTGGAGTTCATCGGCTTTGGAGTCTTCCAATTCGACCGCTTTTGGAGGACGAGGACCTCACCTCAGTATCCGGGGTAATATGTTCGGGCGGACCAACCTTACAGTGCGACATACCGAGAAACTCCGCCCCGAAGGTTTCGGACTATTGCAAAACTCTAGTGTTCGTCTGGTATTCAAGTCAATGATTCGGCTCCCATTGACATCCTGACCTCTCAAATGCAGCAACGTTACGGACACCCAAGTCCGTCGACCAGTTCGCCAGACCAAGACGCAGCGTGACGCAAAGACCTTCGCGAGTTGCTTTCCGAAGCCCGCCCGGCATCTGGATTGTGCCGATCGTACTGGCAAGTGTGAAGTGCAATTGGCGGGAACAGCGGCTCAAAATCTCCAATTCCGTTGTGCGAGCCCATTGTTGGCCTCAAGTATAAAACAGAGCTTGCTGCAACGATCTTCTCAAATAGTCCGTGGCAAGCCCTGGATGCAAGGTGAGAGGTGATAAGACCCCAGTCTCTTGAATGAGTTGCAAAATGCGCCTCCAATTCATTGGCCTCGTGGTCCTGACGACACTCAGAGCCACAATGGCTGTTGAAAACACCACATTTTATAATCCGGTCTTTCCTGGCTGGCACACGGATCCTACCTGTACATTCGTCCCAGAACTCGACAATACACACTTCTGCGCCTTTTCGTCGTTTCTGACATTCCCCGGCATTCCAATTTATGCAAGCAAGGACCTGATCAACTGGAAGCTTGTCAGCCATGCTTTGATTCGCGAAACGCAGTTGCCCGAGCTTCTTACCGACGGCTCGATTCAACATCAGGGCATTTGGGCCCCGACTTTGCGTTACCATGAAGGTCGGCTCTATATCATTTCACCTTACATTCTGTTCAACACCTGGTTCCAGCAGATATTCGTCGTCTCGACAGCCGACCCTTTTGATACTGATTCATGGACCGACCCGATCTGGATGGACAACCCTACCAACTCCATCGACCCTGACTTCTTCATAGACAATGGGACGCTGTACGTGTCCATGTCAGCAGGCGATAGAATTGTGCAATCCAGGTTTAATATGGTCACTGGCGAGACGAGCGAGCCTATTCGCCTTTGGAGCGGCACCGGTGGTCGTAACCCAGAAGGGCCACACATCTATAAGAAGGATGGATGGTACTACCTACTCGTCTCGGAGGGTGGTACTGAGACTAATCACACTGTCACCATTGCCCGCGGAAAAGGCCCTGAGGGACCGTTTGAGGGTTATGAAAACAATCCCATCTTAACCAACAAGAACACAGACGAATACATTCAATGCGTTGGGCATGCCGACTTCTTCCAAGACGTCGAAGGAAATTGGTGGGGTGTCGCTTTGGCCTGTCGCTCGGGTCCCGAGTGGCAGATTTACCCCATGGGCCGAGAGTCTCATTTGTATCCGATGACATGGGATGAAGGCGAATGGCCAGTCCTCGCACCGGTCCGCGGTCGCATGTCGGGGCCTCTACCACCGAAGAACCTCGATGTAGCTGGCGAAGGGCCCTGGTTGTCGGACGGTGACGAGTATGACTTTGCGCCCGGGTCTTCCATCCCGAGAAACCTCATCCACTGGCGAATTCAGCAAAACAGAACCGAGCGATTCACTGTTTCTCCCGAAGATCATGCCAACATGCTACGACTCACGCCAACAAAGTACTCTCTTGACTCCGCTGTACCTCCTGAACTCATCGGGGACCCCAACGCCGGCATTCACCCCCTGACTTTCATTGCGCGAAAGCAGTCTCATACCATCTTCAACTTTAGTGTTGACCTAACTTTTCACCCTAGTGAAGAGAACGAAGAAGCGGGCGTTACGCTCTTTTTGACGCAGTTCCAGCATGTTGATCTGGGATACGTCCGCCTCAAAGCACCCGATGGTCGTCTTGCCATGTATCTCCGTTTCAAGCATGAACTTTCCGGCAAAGAGGGGTACGAAGGAGAGCCACTCGCCTCGGAGCCAGAGCCGGCGCTCCACAAGGTCCCGTGCGCCTGGCTGGGTAAGCCGGTCAGGCTGCAGATTTCAGCAGTCAACGAGACGCACTACGTGTTCAACGCTGCATCCGTAGAGTCGGACGGCAAGGAGAGCGACAAGATCGTTCTCGGCAGTGTCAGCGCGTGGTTCATGAGTGGTGGTTCGGGGCAGTTCATGGGTGCGTCATGTCTCACACAACAGGCTCTTGTGCTAATCAAGCATGATAGGAACCCTCGTGGGAGCGTATGCTACGAGCAACGGGGGCGACAACCTGACGCCGGCATACGTGAGTCGATGGCGGTACGAGCCAATTGCTCAGCTCATTTCCGACAACGTGTTCGTGCCTGCCGATGAGCATCCGCTCCCTGGGAGGGCGTGAGGCATGGCTGCCAGGACTTCTGCGGATGTTGGTGTGGAGCGCGTAATGGAGATCTTTCAGAGCCAGATTGCATTCCGTGAAATATTGCGAGCTAATGTGAGGCAGTGTTCTGAAAAAAGAGGCCGCTGTGCATATAACTCTTTAAAACTATCGATACTTTTGGCATGCTCTTTACCTGTCTTCTTCAGCCTCGGCAATCCAGTAAGCTTCCAGCTCGGCAATGCACGTCCGCGCAGGAATCGTCACCGCGATAGGGAAACCGCCATAGTCAGGGTCGTCATTCGGCATCATGAGGAATTCCCCGCTCCTTGTCTCATCACCATTGAACACTCTCAGTGTCCTCAGCTCGCCCGTCTCTGTGACCTCCTTCTCCTCGGCACGCAGGATGCCGGTGAACGTCGCCTCGGGCCTCACGCTCTTGAAGTAGACGTGGAAGCCTCGTCCGACGGCGAGGAACTTGCCTTTGCCCTTGTGAATAACCATGCCGGCGCCGGAGCTCTGCTTACCGAAGACAAAGCACCGCTCTACGATGACCTCAAAATCGCCAATGACCTTGGTCCACCGCTCCGTGCTGCCGGGCGACGGCTCTTCGTCGAAGAAGAAGCCGAAGCGGTCGGCCGGCCCCGCGGCGAGGAGGTGCTCCTGCGTCTGCGCCAGAAGCTTGTACTCGCGGCCGAATGCCTCGGCGCCCGTGTCGATGCCGAACGGGCCGGTGCCGAGGGCGCCGTAGGTCGCAAACGCGAGCCAGGACCTGCGCGCGCCGTTGGCGTCGCGGCGCTGCTCGGGGATGAAAAGCGGGTTGCCCTGCTGCGTGTAGTCCTTGCACACGGACTCGTAGTGGTGGAAGTAGAGGTCCGGCGCCAGGAAATCGAGCGCTGGGGTGTTGTGGCGCCAGATGTCGAGGACGTGGGGGCAAGGCCCGCCGGACGGGTAGTCTCCCGGCGCGGCACCTCCACCGACGACGATGGGAAAGTCCCGCGTGTCCAGCTCAGAGGGGTCGTCGAAGTTGAGCCAGCAGTTTGTGTAGAAAGGGATGTTGTAGTGCTGCTTGCCGGCGGCGGCGACGCGACCGACGTAGGTGGAGATATGGTGGGCCATGAAGGCTTCGTTGGCGTTGTTGCCCGCGCCAAAAACAGAGGACCACGAGTGATCTCCCGATGAGGGAATATTGCTGTAACGGGCCTTGAAGGTCGGATGGGTATCAACGGTCGAGAGGTGCTTCAGCAGCGACTCCGGGACAGGCTTCTCGAAAGCCGCGTTTGCGCGATGCGAACGGTCGCGCGAATCGCCCAGGAGACCCGTCTCGTTCTCAACCTGGACCATGAGGACTGTGTTGTGCTCAGCGTCGACCTGGGCAAGGTGACGCATGAGCTCTGAAAAGGCGCGGCAGTCCGCCGCACAAGCCTCTTCGCTGAAGGGCGACACCATTTCGATCGTCTTCTTCACGCCGCCAGCCTGAAGAACCTGAACACGGGGGAAACGCTTAACATCGCGCTTGACCCATGACGGTGCATACGTGGAGATACCGTTCTTGTAGGTACCGAACCATAGCAAGACGAGGTGCATGTTGTGCTCACGGGCGCCAGCTAGGACCCGATCAAGCTCGGAGAAGTCGAAGTGGCCCTCGCGAGGCTCGATGTCTTCCCACGTCACAGAGCCAAGGAGGGTGTTGATAGACTGCGCCCTCATGGCGGGCCATACCTCTGACATGTAGCGGGCCGAACTGAGCGCAGAGTTTCCAAGCTCGCCAGCGAGCATGAGGAAGGGTTTGCCGTTGACAATGAGATTTGTATTGCCGTTCTCAGAGCGGCGCAAGTGAGGAAGCTTGTCGGAGGACAGGCTTGGGGCCCGGATAACGGGTGTATCTTCGAAGGCCGTCATGATGTTGTAGATGGCATACAATACAAGAGATGACAGGAGAGGCGTGAGAGATTGGGAGAAAAAGCAAGAGAAGGGAAGAGATGTTGTCTTGTTACGAGGTCTGAAAGTCAAGAAGAGACGCACAGTTTTAAGCTATCGTGACTAGAAGAAGATGATAAATGCAATGGGCATGTTTCGCCGACGCCGAGAACACCAAAGTGCGTCTTCGAACAAACTTCGGAGCTGACTCTAAATTTCCCCAAAACTGGCGGGTTCACAACCCCACGTCCGAACGAGGTCTCCGCATATCTGCGTTGTCGGCCAAGATCATCGGAAGCAGGGCTCGAGTGCCTCCGGCACCTTTGGCCATGGCTGTCCGCGTGGTCTGATCGACAGCCGCCTCCCGACGTCGAACCCACCGTCCTTTTCCTGATGTGGTTGGCGCCGCAAATACTTCGCAGAAACTACAAAACCACCATGTCTCCAGCTTAGAGCCGAGCCACATGGCATTCCCCACTGCTGTGAAATGTGGTTCGAGAGGAGGACGAATGCGCGGCTATCGGCTCATTTAGTCTGCATTATGCCATGTTCTGCTGGGCGACTTTGCGAAAGCGAGCACCGTGTGTGTGCGAATCAAGATAATCATGATGCTTGTCTGGACTCGTATCTTCGTGTTGTCGTGGCTAATACCCAGTCGGATGGCCTGGCCAGCAGTCAAGATCGTGCAGCCTACGTGACAAACGCTCCATCTTCTCCTTGACATCATCTCCCATTCCCTGGATCTTCTGAGCCTGCTCCAAGTACGAAGCCCCTATATCACGAATCTTGGGCACCAAACTACTCCCGTTGGCGTCGAACACGGCCTGGGGAAGATGATACAGTATCTCGAGCAGATCATCCACGATCCTCTGATGCTCCTCGTGACTGCCGGACGTCGATCCGAATTTCTCCAGCAAGTTGGACCTTATATGCAAAGACGTGATGAAGATGTTGACTACTTGAGCATCGTGTCCCTCGGTGACATGCGCCGGCCTTGACAGCCCGCCGCGCCATCGGAGCTCCGGTGGTAAGGAGTCGATCACCTGCTGCACTTGGGCCAAGTACCGCGCCAAAGCGGCCTCGGCCCCGCCAAGCATGGCTGCCGGGATAGTTTGAGCCTCGTGCCAGACCCAGAATATGTCGCTGAGACGCAGCAGACCGGGGATGTAGCTCGTGTTGTTACCGTGCCATGCGGTATCCTCTGCCGCCAGGGGATCAAGGTCCTTGCCGGTGGGATCCAGCTCGTCGTCTGTGAGAGGCAGTGGGCGAAGCTGAGGCCAATTATCCTGATAGGATGCAATATTTGGCGTCAACATGCCAAATGCGTCCCCGCTTCTAAACGGATGTTAGCTCATATTACGCCTCGCC